GATATTGTAGATTTAGTGTTAACATTAATAAATATATCGTTTCTATTGTTGAAGAGTGATATTGTAGATTTAGTGTTAACATTAATAAATATATCGTTTCTATTGTTGAAGAGTGATCATTCTTTAAAATGTTTGAAGTTTTGCTACATGTTGAGATAGAAGCCAATTTTGAGACCAGAATACAAGATTTATCACTAGTAAATTGGGATAAAGAATAAAAAGGGGATGTGGGTAGTTTAGAGAATTAAACAAATTAATTTCTTTTAAATCAAAATGGGCAGACTCTTAAAATGGGGAAAATGATTATAGGGAAGATCAAACATAATTGGCTTATTAAGTACGAGGGAAAAATCTGGGTAATGGGCATAAGTTTAAACTGACAGACTTACAGATCGATAGGAAACCTAGGAATTTGGTTAACAAACAGAAATAGGCCAGTGAAAACAATTTTAGTAACTCGGACAAAGAAGCTTTAGAAATCATATGATATATAAAAAAAGAGTCAACATGGATTCACCAAGGGTAAATCTTGCTTTACTAGTCTGGTATCCCTTTTGGATGATGGAAAGGGTGTGGATTTGGTTTACTAAGATTTTCTAAAAGCTTTTTATATGGTGCCTCATAAAAACTTATCTGGAAAATCACATCAAAGGAAGATGAAGAAAGATTAGCTAATTGGACTGTTGGGTGGTTGAATGGGAGCAAACGAAAGATTGTTATTAATGAAGTCCTGTTACTAGTGGAGTGCCTTAGGGATCAGACTTTGGGCCTTTACTTTATCATTTTCACATCCATGATATTAGTAAGGACATAAAGTAAATAATGTTAATGTTAATATTTTTATTATTTCTAGCAGAGCTGAGGTATTACAGAATGACTTGGATTGAGAATTTCGAGGTATTACAAAAGGATTTGGATTGAGAATTTCGAGGTATTACAGAAAGACTTGGATTGAGAATTTCGAGGTATTACAGAAGGACTTGGATCGAGAATTTCAAGATATTACAGAAGTACTTGGATTGAGAATTTCGAGGTATTACAGAAAGACTTGGATTGAGAATTTCGAGGTATTACAAAAGGATTTGGATTGAGAATTTCGAGGTATTACAAAATGACTTGGATTGAGAATTTCGAGGTATTACAGAAGGACTTGGATCGAGAATTTCAAGATATTACAGAAGTACTTGGATTGAGAATTTCGAGGTATT